CTGTGGCACATTTTTAACAATTTTATTTTATTTTTATTATTTTTTTAATTAAAAAATTAAAAAAATTTTATGGTACATTTTCAGAAGGAGAACTGCAGAGGTACACAATCTGCACAAACCTTTCGAGGTTTTTGACACACACTGCCAATTTAACATTCTGCTATTCTGAAAAAAACTTGATCTATATAGTTATTTCCCAAAGCATTTAGAAAACATGGATATTTCAATAAACATTTTTTCAAATAATAAGTATATTTACTCTTATAGTATCTACCATATCTGTATATAGTCCCTGTACTCGTAGATACAGAGTAATGGTCACAGATTTTAAAAGATTTTACCTGAAAATCACAGTTTTCCAATATAATTTTCTTTCTTTTTTTTTTTAAAGATTTTATTTATTTATTTGACAGAGAGAGACACAGCGAGAGCAGGATCACAAGCAGGGGGAGTGGGAGAGGGAGAAGCAGGCCTCCCGCTGAGCAGGGAGCCCAATGCGGGGCTCGATCCCAGGACCCTCGGATCATGTCCCGAGCTGAAGGCAGACGCTTAACCTACTGAGCCACCCAGGCGCCCCTCTAATATAATTTCAATCTGCTTTTATAAGCAGAGTCAGACATCTGGGCCATTTCTAAACCTTGTTTATTTTAAGCACAATTATACTGCTTAAAAAGACAACATAGGTAGGGTATGACTCCAATTCAAGAGACATATTAAGGAACAATCCAGAACTTAGCATCCAGTCATCAGTGGTGGCACTTTCCCATAAATTATGTTAAACCCTCATCCACATAAAATGGATTTTATTATTTCATTTATAAATAATCTATAAATTATTCAGAGCCAATTTTATAACTGAAATGTAGTTGTTTAGAAGAGATTTAATGTAACATTTTGAAGTAAGGAACTTGATTTTTTTCATTTCAAAAGATGAGTTTTAAAATAGTTTGGGAGGGCGCCTGGGTGGCTCAGTCGTTAAGTGTCTGCCTTCGGCTCAGGTCATGATCCCAGGGTCCTGGGATCGAGTCCCACATCGGGCTCTCTGCTCAGCGGGAAGCCTGCTTCTCCCTCTCCCACTCCCCCTGCTTGTGTTCCCTCTCTCGCTGTGTCTCTCTCTGTCAAATAAATAAATAAAATCTTTAAAAAAAAAAAATAGTTTGGGAACTGGAAGCATCACTGGAATGTATTTATTTAGGTTGAAGCATATGAAATTGCTGTTTTGGTAGATTATACAAAAGGTAGAGAGTCAGCATGTTCTTAAGAATGGTTCAACTTAATACACATTCTCAAGGTGACTATTTGAGGTGTAAAACATGGGGTCAATGAAGAGCCTTTACTTATTTTCATAAAATCTGATGATGTCTTTCCTTCAAAATGTAAGCTAGCAAATCACATTAAAGGCATTGCTGAACAAGAACAAGGTAAGGGCGAAACTGCAAAGTCGTGGCAGCTTTTCCTGAGCTGTGTGTAATTGCAAAGTTATCTGTTTTTGGTAATTATCAAACCTGTCCAGGAGAAGTTTGGTTGGCTACCGCAGTTCAAAAGAAAAATAAAATAGCATTAAGCAGCAGCTGGGCAGCTGGGGAATGAAAAGGGAGTCACCCTACAGCTGGGCAAACAATGAGGTCAATGAATCTACTACACACCTTGCATTTCTAGGCTTGGCTCTGTTTGTACACCCTGCCTGAAGCAAACCCACATACCATTTGGGTCCTGGTTCCAGTTACATCTTTAAAAAAATAGGGTGGAAAAAAACCCAACAAAAGAATAAGTCTCTCTCTCTCTCTCTCAGCTGTCTATATTCTTCTTGCTAATAGCCAAAGGAAGAAACGAGAACATGTGACTCCCATCATAGAGAGATGAAAAGGCATCCCAGACAGCCCTGGGTATCTGAGAATTCTTTTCTTTTAAATACACCCTGAAGAAAAGACTTGAACTCTTGCTTTATTTAGATGCTGAGGACCTGTGTAAGCAAGTAATCTGCACAAACTCAGCCTTATGAACTAAGGATACTGAGCTGGCTGCCAACATGGGTTTCTTATAAACTAGTCTAGGTTAAAAGGAAAACATTCTTGACCTAACACTAGCAAGAAAAGGGTGTAAATATCCCACCATAATGTGGTTTAGCACGATAGCTGAGGATTTTCTACCCAGTTCAATGGTAATTTCCAGAAGGAAATTTCTTTGTTCAGTTTTCCAATGTGACTAAGGGTTTCCACTATTTTCTAAAATGTTAACAATGACAATGAATGAATTTTAAAAGTTGAGGAGAAAAACACTAAAAGCTTTTTGAGAACTCTAATTGCAGATAATGAATGCAAGAACAAACTACATTATTTAAAACGTAAGCTGTTGACAGAAGTTAAATGTGTTTTGTATTTAAAATAACAGACAGTTTTCTCTTTTTCAAAGAAGTATAAGCTTTTATTTTTTTAAAGGTGAATTTTGAATACATACTGCAAAGAAAATAATAGCTTCTCCATCAGCTTAATGCAAACACAAGCATTTGCATACCAAATGACATGATAGGCATATATCCATTTAAATGTACTCCAATAACATATTTTCCTATTTGAATTCTTCTCTACTAAAACCTCATGCATAATTCTCCATTGAACACACTCAATTTATCTTTCCTACTCCATCTTTTCTTAACTGCAGAAGAATATAGCGAAATAGATTTCTTTGCAATTGTGAAATCCTATGCAAAAACTTTTGCACAGAAGCTGTTAATATTTTTTTCCTTACTGACAGACCCACATAATGTATCTGACACTACTCTTGTACTTTAAATCAAAATAATTAAAATATCTATAGTAAATTTGAATATTTAGTGTCATGAAACCATTATGTATCTGAAAACTGTCCACATAGTTGAAGAAGATCAGTGTATTAAGGCTATACATTTTACTTTTTTAATGTTTTTTTTTAATATTTTATTTATTTATTACTTTTATTTTATTATGTTAGTCACCAACATTTTACTTTCTGACTACTGGCACAGAAGTTAGAAGGCATGATTCTAAGAATGGGTCTAGCAGTTACCAGGTGTGGGCAATTTATTTTACACTTCTGCTCACCTCACAAGGTCATTGTGGACATTCAATTGTGCATCCCTAGGTGTGTGTGCATGTAACAAACTTTACTGAGTACTTATTATATGTGTCTGAGTGTGTGTGTATATATATATAATGTATACCATCAATATATATGTGTAATATGTATATATTTAGCTAAAGAAGCATTATATAATGTTTACTATGTGCCAGACACCATTCTAAGCATTTTACAAATAATAGCTTATTTAGTCCTTCTAAAAAACTCTTATGGGGTATGTACCTTTATTCTTCCTATTATACGGATGTGACAAGAAGGGCCTTGAGAGGTGAACTAACTTGCCCAAGGTCACATAGCTGGTAACTGGCAGAACAACGGTTGAAACCTGGGCAGTATGGTTCCAGATTGGGTGTTTTAGACTGCTATGCTATAACCTTTGGAAACTCTAAAGCACTATACAAATGGAAGGCCTCTTTACCTGGGGGATATTAGCTACTCTTGGTTTATATTTAGGAATAGAGGGAAAGAGGGCTGAGAGATACTTATTCACTCACCATTTGCTTGGTATTTACCATCCATAAGGCAATGATGGGTGTAAAAATAGGGACTTGGTTTCCTACTTCTAAGAGCTTAAATTTTGGGAGATTAAAAAATGGGCCCTGGAGAGTCTGATGGACACAGATGAAGGGAGAGGACATTCAAGTTGGAGGAATTGTACCAGCAAAGGTATTTGGAGTAGGGGGAACACACAGGTATGGTAGGCATGCATAGACAACCACTTCAAGAAGGGGCTCCAGGGAAGGGCTTGACCAGTGGATGGTTGGGTAACTGGGCTGGAGGATAAGACTGCAGAAGTTGTCATGGGCCAGATCAGGAGAGCCTTGAAACCTCAACCAGAAAGTTTTAAAAAATATATTCTATAGGGGTTCATGAATCCACAGA